GCAGAAATTGAATTTATATAGGCGGACGGGTTCAACCCCTAGCCAAATCCTAAGCCCTGACCCTTAACACACAACGCTAAAATACTAAGTACACAGGACCTTCAAGATGAAAGGGCAAGCCTGCAGAATTCCCACAGCGTGGCGATCGAGCGGCTGTCGACTCGGCTGAGTGAGGTCACGACTGAGCAGAAAGCCGTCCTGGCAGACTTTCAGCGTGCCTGGCCTTTTCTTAGAAGGCATTGTGCACAAAACCTTAAACCCTAAGCTTTGGGTTTCCTGCAATGCGGGCTTCGTCCTTGCTAGGTAGGAGGGAAAAAACCCAAAGCTTCGACTCGCCTTAGTTTTTTAAAATGCCTTTCGGATTCACTAGCCAAGGCAGACTCGATACCTCGGACCGACTCTTCAAGGACCTCCCCGAATCCTAAACGCAGTCCGTGGACCCATATCCCTCGCCTGGATTGTCCGAGTGTAAGCGCCTAAATGCAATATCGTAAATCACCCTGCAGGATGCCACCAAGGAGAACGGCAGGCTCAGGAACGATCGACAGGCGGAGCACGATCTGAGAGAGAAATTGCGAAATCAGAAGATCGCGTCCTCTGAATCAAAATAAAACCAAGTTTTGTTTTGGTTAGTAGTAGTATCTGATAGGGGTTCTAATATGCGACTTTTGAGTAGCCCAGGCTCGAGACGGCCAACAAGAGTCTGGTGGAGGAGCTGCAGCGGGTGAAAGATGAGAGGGATAGGGCTAAGGAAAAGGCCGAAAAGGCCAAGAAAAAGTGAGCCACTGGTGATCGGGGTTCCTGCAAAATGGCGCAATACAGCTAGCGGCTTGAGGCTTAAGACATATGCACAAAGCACTGGTGGCACACTGTAGGCGGCTCGTGCTTCACTCGTCTTCCTGGCGATGCTGTGGCGAAAAAGACCGGAGCCACCACGGTGCCTTCCAAAGCCTTGCCTGCGTTGAGCGTGCATCCCTGGAACTCCGTTTGTTCCAAGGTCTGGCTTTGGCTTCTTCTGCGCAGAGGCACGGTCTTATCTGAACTATGCATCGTGCGGATTTGAGAAGTTGCAGCCTTTAGAACCGAAGTGGTTTGCAGTGCCGTGCTTCATGTCTTCGCTCGTGCTCCCTTCAGACATAAGGAATCAGCCATTGAGGCATATAAGGTGATAAGCCGTCATGTAGGCTGCGCGGTAAAAGGCCAAACAGAAGTCAAGAAAAAACAGGCTGAATGAAGACCAGGCGGCTTTGCTTAAAGCACCAGCAAAAACTTAAGACAAGCTGCCCAAAAGGCTGCCAAAAGGTGACACCCAAGCTGCTCGTGACATAAATGCTTACTGATCTGAATCCTAGACAGGAGCTCCACGCAGAATCACTCAACTCACCAGCATCGGTGAATTGGTAAACAGCTGTTCTGACATCCACTAGAAAGATCAGTTCAACACTTTACGAACATGGAGCATTCTCAAGCAAGACTTCCGTCACCAAGCAGGAATCCCAAACAAAATCATGTCCTGCACGTGACCCGAAACATGCAGAGATGACGTCCTGAATGCGAGTGGATGCCAGCTGAAGCACGGGTCCTTCGGGGCGGCGGGGTTGGCTTGAACTGGCCCCAGCCCCCCAGCTTGTAGCTGTAAGACCGACTGTGAAAGCCTTGTTTTGTGCTCTCTTGCTTCTGGGGCTGGTGCTTTAAGCAAAGCCGCCCCCTGTGGGTTCATTCCTTCTCCCTTTTTCTGCCCTGGTTGCTGCCTCTTTTCCTTTGCTGGCGCTGGGGGGCGCGCGTGCGCATCATGAAACCGGTATGGGTTTTATGGATTGTTTCGCACTTCGGCAATAAAGATTGAGTGATTGAGTATTTTACAATATATTCTAGCTGCGGCATGACATGGGTACAACCTTATCCTTTTCCTTGTGCCTCGTGCAAACATCAAGTTTTTGAAAGAAGATAACGTCTTTGCAGGGCACCAGCTAACCCTTAACCCTGGCATACACTGGATTCATAAGACCGGAAGCTCTCATCCAGTAGCCTACGTGACCCCCAGTACGGGAAAGCTCATGTGATGTTCCGGAAAGGATCGTTGAGAAATGCGCTGCCGGGCGGTCATCATCAAATTCGCAGAGGCGGCTCTCCCGTTGTGGCATTGCGGGTTTGGGGGGTTGGGGTTAGGGTCAAGTTCAGATTGGGTTTCAGCCCCAGCCCGTCCAAGCCTGCAGGCTGGGCTAAGAACCGCGAAAGCTTGAACACCCTCTGAACCCCTCACCCAAGCTTCGGTCTTCTTCTGCGTGACAAGTTTTTATTACCTACCCGAAGCCTAGATCCTCCCCGTCCTCATCCCCGATCACCCGACATTCCTCAAAGAGAACGGAGCTGCACAGGGCGGTGGCCGGGATTGCGATGGCAGACCATACGAGCAGTCTGGGCCTTGAGCACTTGGGGTCGAGGTTTTGGGTTTCGGAGGATTTGGGTGTTCCGTATCCGGGCCGCAAGGATTACAGGCGTAGGCCGTAGGCCAATATGTAGTTTCGATATGTGGGCTCTGTTGAGTAACATTGTAGTCAACACTGCAGCGTCATGTGAGAAATGCTTGGGGGAAATGTGCGATTGAATGATGTCCTGTTTTGGAAACCGAGTAATTTGGACTTGTAGGGATTGTAGACTACAAGCCAGTACCCGTACTAGTAGCAAGAAACCACTGTGTTGCTGTGGCTTTTGCCTCAAATTTTTGGTATAGTTGCCTCAAAATTGCCTCAAGTTTTTGTTCTTGCCTCCTCGAATTTTTCTCCACTCTTCCATCGCTTCACCAGGAACCATTGTGTCTACCATTTATTACGCTTAAACGCAACAGCGCAGTGTCATCTGAGAAGCACTTGGGTGAAGTGACAGATTAGATTATGTTCTGTTTTTTGGAAACCGAGCCTTCAGCAGCTATGTGGGTTTGCAGGTACAACAAATAATCGCTGTTGCTGTGGCTTTTGCCTCAAATTTTTGGTATAGTTGCCTCAAAATTGCCTCAAGTTTTTGTTCTTGCCTCCTCGAATTTTTCTCCACTCTTCCATCGCTTCACCAGAAACCATTGTTTTAGTGTGTACGATATTTACAGAGTATGCTTGGTATGCTAAAACAAATGCAAAAATATTATCGGGTTGAATATGTATATTTACTGCAAATCCATAGCGATGAAAGGAATCAAAAAAATTTGATGCAAAATATAAAAAAATTGAGGCAAATTTGATGCAAGAAACCTAAAAATTTAAGGCAAACGCCTAGATTATATGTGTTAATTGGGCTCCATGCCTGCGCATCACGCTTAAAGCGTTTCTTTTCCTTTGGAGGGCCATGCAGCAGTCACACAGACCTCGTCTCCAATTCCGTTTGTGCATTGCTATTGCATGGTCATCTTGCCTGCTTTTGCAGGTCACTTTTGCCAGCTGCCAATTGTCAGGGGCCCGGCGTGCGATCCGAGTACGCTTTTGGGGCTTCCTAGACCTTTCGGGAACAAGTAGCATCGCTGCTATGCTGCCGTATCAATAGGGTGAGGGGTTTGGGTCTTATGGGGAGGGCAGCTGGACGATTGAAAGTGCTACTCAGGATTCATTCTTGACTCCTTGACATAAATTAAAAGCCCGAAGAACTTATCACACGTGCAACACTTCCTTGCCCCGGTCTTGAGTCGGTGGGAACCTGTGTCCAGAATTCCTTTATTCCTCGCTCGAGGCTCGCGGAGTGAGTGGTCGGCACCGCCGAACTTCTTCAGGCCTCGTGATTGTCAAGACAGACATGTTCTTGCGCAAGTGGTTGAGCGTGTCCGACAAAGGGCATACGCCTAAGGGCCAAGCCACAGCCCTGAACAAGGGTTGCACGTACGGGTGGGAAGTATCAGGGGCAATGTCGTGCAAGCAGTCCTGTTGGCCCCTTTGACCACCATGACTTGACTAGAACCTATGAAACAATGCAGCGCAACAGGTGAGCACCCGATTCTCCAACAACATCATGCACTTATTCACAGTACCTCGTGTTTCCGCGGCCGGGTGGTGGTGATTGCCGAGACGTTCTTACGTAGGCAGTCTTCGTGAGATGCTGCAGTAGCATGGTTGATGGCGATTGCCCGTGGACGGGCACGGGTGCAATAGGTGTTCTCCCAAGCCTGGTTCTTGATTCTCGTGGTCGCACATGAACCCTAAATCAGGCTGGCGGAGCTCCAGTATCAGGCGATGGCAGGCAGGAGACGACTGAATGCTGAGTTTGAAAGTTTGGGCGCAAGTTGGATTGAGCTGCAGAGTGCTTTGGAAGCAACAAACATGACACTGACGTTCTTCGGCCATGTCAGCGCGGCATCTGCAACAGTGTGTCGCAGCCCGCAACAAGGGCTGTAGTAGGCTTTATAATAGGCAGAAGGGTTGTGTCATCCAGGCTTCATTGTCACAAAGAGTCCCTATACGAAGACAATCATGGTTGGTGACGTGTTTTTGACGGAGGGCCAGAGCAGGACAATATCATAGAACTGTCGTGCCTTATGCGACTGGTGTCGGGGTTGCTGCCGGGTTCTGTAGGTTGCAGACCAATTGGGCCATACCTGTGTAGGCGTAAGTATCAACAATGTGCATCTTTTTACATAGAAGACGGCATCTCGCGGAGCGTGCCATGACCTGTCCCAAAAAGTGCAAATGCCTGGATTGCCTTGCGCACCGCTGGGCTCCAAAATGCGTGTACCTGGCGGCAGATGGACCTGTGCTGCAGAACAATCTTTTTTTTGCAAAGCAAGATGCACCCATCCCGCAGAGTTCGTCAAGTTAAGTGCTACGTCGCAGGATGCTACCAGTCCTACCTCGTTCGAACTCCATCGGGGCTCGGATGCTCCTTGTGTATGGCTTATGCGAAGGCGTACCCCGAGGAGGTTTGCGCCTCCGTCTGCAGCAAGCCTCAGGTCACATGGGTCATGAGCGACACACATCGCAGCCCAGTTTAAAAGTGAATGAGACATGAGGTAAAGTGACTCCATGGATAAGTGGCACAAAGGGATCTCCAGCTGTGCTTCTGGGCTGTGAATTGGGCGTCGACCGTCGACCGTTAGGTTATTGCAGTTGTACTGCCTGTCAACATTACCCAGGCCCGGTGGCAAGATTGGTGTCCTACAGCTAGAAGACGTGAAACGTCATGGTGGTATTTCCAGAAAATGCCGCCAGGCCTGTCGTTTTCATTTGAAGGCCGTGCAATTTGCGCTGGGTGACGTGAAGCAGCCTTCCGCTTTTCTGCCCGACAACGTTAAAGAAAAGGCCTTTGGCTGCACAGCAGGCCAGCTGAGGCTGGCGCTGGACGTCCTTCATTGCCCTCATGCGGCGCAATGTACCGAATACCAGCGTCGCTGCCTGGAGTCGCGAAGGCCCGGCGCAGAGACATGTGCGTGTGCAAATGAAAATTTTCCTTCGGGCAGGTTGCGGCCGGAGCAGTTCCCGCTCCGCCATTCATCCAAGGACAGCTACTGGCACATCATCCAGGCTTACTCTGACGTGTTGGACTGCAAACTTCAGCGCCTGCTTAAGACAACGAGCATCAGGGCGATTGCAGTGACCGAGGACATCCTTGTTTGAGGGGATGTGTCGTCTGAAGTCTGAAGGGTCCACTCCGCCGGTCATGCCCGCGTGTCCCTGGTGACAGGATGTGCGGAAGGAGTATGAGGTGGTGAAGTGCCGCTTGGTCACCGAAAGCTTCGAGATCCACCACTTTATGCTAGATCTGCGGAGCATTGATGGACGAAAGGACTTGTCACACGTGCAGCATGGGCATAATACTGTCCTAGTTTGTTCTTGACCACATGTCAGTGAGCAGGATTCACTTCACAAAGCACGCGAGCTTTGGTCTTCGTTTTGCAAACTCAGTGCGGGAAACAATAGTGTACTGCAAAAGATCAAAGATGCTGATTTTGCCGCGTGGCTGCAAAGTGAGTGCATGCAGTGTTAACTTGGCATTGGGCTGTTGTCCGTCGCGCGTGTCCGAAGGTGTGCACTGCAGATGGCGAGCCTGCCGAGCAACTGGCGGGACAGTTCTTTGAAAAAGTCTCAGGTTGCGGCGTTCGCTGGACGGCCCGTTGTGCTTTGCACTCTGGACAGAGAAGTTTGGAAGCTGCCATTTTCGGAGACGAATCTGCCAAGAGGCTTATCGAGGCATTGATCACTTCGTACTCCGGCAACGACGGCCGCAACTTGGGAAGTTTCGCTCGCGCATGCAAGAACTCAACACGCTTGAGTCATATGTTCCGCACCAGCGCAGAGAATGTCGACACAGTGCTGAAAGCGGCTGGGGAGCTGAGGTTTGCTCCCCAGAGGTTCGACACAATCATGTCAGTCACCTCGACTCTGACATTGAATATCCGAGGGATGATCATGAGCTTGACAGAGATTCAATTACGGGACAGCTCCTTGAAATCCTGGGCCAGGGGTATCTTGAACCTCTTGACAGAAGAGAACCTGGTGTTGCTGGCCTTGCTGGCCGAGCTGTCTCGCACCGTCTCGAGCTACCACCATAGCTTCGAAAGCAGCCGTGGAAGCCATCCAAGTTGTCTGGCTCGCTCAGCTCAGCATTTTCGTGCTTTGAGTGAGGAGTTGAACCGCTTGTTCTCCTTCAGGAGCATGGGAGGCGAGCTACAGGAGCCCCTGACTTTAAGTCCGCAGTTCACTGCGGGATTCATGCAGTTGTTGCAAAGCAGTTACAACCTGATGGTTACCGAGGCCAGGTCGTCCTTATGAATATGTGCATGTAGTATGCTTGTCAGCGTTTCACATGGGCGGAGGCCGTGGTTCACGGCAAGACCATGCTTTTCTACCGGGCGAAAAGCAAGGACGTTCGAAGGACGATCGCCGCACAGCTGGGGAAGGTGAACAACATCATTCGAAACTATGTGGAAGCTGTGCGGTGCCATCACCAGATGGGGATTGCAGAAAGTTATCACCCCTTTGATGTGGCGTGGTGGCGGGAGGCTGGTTGCGATGACAAGACCTTGCGCGGATGCCCAGGTCATGTGCTTCTGGGTTTTCTGTTGCCCATTCTTTGTTTTGGGCCGCATGTTCACAGCAAAGGCCGAAGGTGATGCAGCCCATGGCCACGGCTCTCGGAATTGAGGCAGGTTCACACATAAGACGGCTCTGGTGCGGAGTGTCTTTCCTAGCAGGCTACGAACCTGGCAGACGAGTTTCTCATCGCACGCCCGACCATAGATGTCCTGTCCAGGCGTTTTGTTTTGCAGCTATAGAATTGAGGACTCACGGGGGCATAGCACTTGTCAGAGTTTCGTCTAGCGCGTATATCTGTACCATTGAGGCGCGGCGTCCAGGATCTGCGTCTAGCCTGGTCAGAGACAGCTCGGCATTGGGCGAAGCGTTTGCCCCTTCTTGCCCGTGCAGCCATAGCCTGAGACACCGAGTGCGGGGGACCAGCATTGCTTTGCGGAAACTCCATGTATATCTCTCCTGCTGCAGTTGCCAATGACTCTGCCAATGCGTTGAGGTTGCTGTGTACACAGCGTGCTTCCCGAGCAGCGGGGAGGCGGAACAAAACTTCAGCTTGCTACAGATGATGAATAGCGGCCGCAAACAGTCAACGTCCGAAAAGCACCTCAGGCCACAGTGCGACAGACATGTCCTTCCATCTAGGTTTGCTAAATTGCACTGTCCATCCAGAACGGAAATCCTGTCTGTGGGTCTCGGTGCCTGGCCAGGGCGATGATGCGAGTCAGATTGGATGGCTTACCGCCTCCTCGGTTCGTGGTATGCGTGCAGCAAACAGCAATGTCTCAGTGCACGTATGAGATGTCCGAAGATGCAGCAGCAGTGCAGCAACAAATGTTGGAGACTCTTGGTGCTGGACTTGCACGCACGACGGATCTTCCACGTCGCAAAGTTCAGAATACAGACAAGGACAAGTCCCTGCCAGTCTGCATGGGGCAAGAAACCAAAGCCTCGCTGGGCAGGAAGCGAAAGCATCAGCTATCGACCATTGACTCCGCGCAAACTGCAGACACCGAAGATCTGGAGAAGTTATCTTTGCAGCAAGCTGAGGCCTCAAAAGGCTCTGGGTACCACCATCTTGTGAAGTCTTTGAAGTCTTTGGCGGAGAAGAAAAAGAAGCTCGTCACAGCAAGGCTGGATGGCCGAGCTATCGATAAAAAGTATCGAGAGCACGTGCGCAAAGAGACCAAGCTGCACGAGGCCATAGCCAGCATGCGTGCCTCCGGTGCAGTCAGTGTCCTGCGAACACCTTTGCGCTTGCAAAGCGCGGTGCTGCTGCATGAGCCTGGTGCGGACATCCAGGAACTTCCGGGGCTAGGCCTCAAGTGCGTTCCCTTTACTGGAGATCTTGAGCAATATCAGCAACTCCTTCCTGTGGCGTCGAAGGACATTGTATGGTACACGGAAGACGACATGAGTTTTGTCTTCCCATCCAAGAAAATGGTGGCAGTGACTGCGTTCCAGATGGCTTCGCGGCTTTTCGGAGGTTCCATTGGCACGATCGAGTGGAAAGCGGCTTGCTTGGCCGGGGAACAGGTGGTAGCTCCCAGCTTGCAGCTTGCAAGGGCTTTGGACACCAAGACGGAGAGCCTCGTCGAGTTAAGCGATTTTCTGTAGGATTGGGTGGTGCAGTCGGCGTCGTGTTTTTGCTAGTGTGGATAGGGCGAGGACCGTCCCACCCAGGCTCGGTTTGCACAAGTCCGCCGAAGACCTCGCAGTGTCTGCTTGCGTAGTCCGCATGCTCCGTGCCGTGGAAACCTCAGCTGGCGACAAAGCTTGGGTGTTACGCAGAAAGTGTAAAGACGTGCGCAACAAGCTGGGATATGTGCTCACGGATGCTTCATCTGTGGACAAAGTGAGAAAGCAGCGGATGCAAAGCGCCCGACCGGGTAGGGTCTTGAACCCACTGGACTTTTTATCCTGCTGTACAGAGTGGGTGGGGAGCACATAGGCAACACAGGGCTCGGACTGCATTTGGCATCATTGATGCGAGCCTTTGATTCAATTCTGTGCTATGAAGTACACCAGGTGCAAGATTGCGTGATGCGATGTGCTGCGGGCTCTGTGTTGCAAGCGACGGTTTGCAAACAGAAATGGGGCATCCGTGTGGGGGGCGACTCAAAAATGAACTTCTGCTCTCATGTCCTACGGATGTTGAGGTTTGCGGACATCGCAATATTGGACATGCCTTCTGATCAGACTGGGGCTTGCCATTCGCAGAGTTCTTGCATTGAAGCCACGGCGTGTATCATCCCTTGACTTTGCTGTTGCAGCACGACCGGATGTTGTCGTAATGAGAATGACATTCACTGAGACCTTGCTGCCGCAGGTCGGCTATCGCCTCCATGTGTCATCTTCTGAGGCAGGATGAAGTGATGTAGACTGGGCGGGGGGAGGGGGGGCGGGGGTTGGGGAGGTATTGACAGGCGATATGCTGGATTCTGGGTGGCAGCTTTGCGTCTCCGTTACTGGGCATGCGACAAGCTTCACGGTTTGCGGTGCTTGCATCTGCAACGGGATTCACGGCAAGCGAGAGTGTGTGGGTATTGTCGGCGTAGTACTGATTGTGCTATCTCGCAGGATGAGCTGATGCTGCCGGGCGTGTCCTTTGGTCGTTAGCTTCTCAGACTTGGGTTGCAATGACAATGTCATTCCATGTTCCGAGCCTGGATTGAAAAAGTTGACGGTCTGGGTGTCGTTTCCTATTTTAAATTGTTCCTCGAGTCTAAAGCATGCAGGCTACAGGCGTTGAGGCCGGGTCATTGCCGCATTGCATTGTTCGCTCGGTTTCTCGAGAGAAAACGGGTGAGTGGGCGAATCTTGAGAGGAACTGGAATCAGAAAGAGTCGGAGGTGCATGTGACCATTCCCTGACACTGCAACGCTGTAGTCCGAAAGCAGAGAGTTACCGAGGCCAGCGGCTGCAGCCGCCACAAAAGTTATGCCTGGCACGCTTGGCTTTTCCGTAGGGCATGGGGGGGATGGGTACACTCCTGCTAGCCCTACACACTTCCCGGGGAAGTGCGTCGCACAAGCAGGGGGTTGATGAATGTTCTGATGCCAAGACAGATCGTTCTGGTGCCGCTGATTGAGTCGATACCCCCTAGCCCTACATGCTTCCCGGGGAAGTGCGTCGCGCACCGGGGGGGTCGGGCACCCCCCCTTGCCCTACAACAATGTCTGTTCGGGCAGCCATTTGATCAGTCGTGGAAACGGAGTTGGAAGAAATGGCTCGTAGCAGAAAATCATCGGCGAAGGCACCGGCGGCAGTGCCGAAGCCCGACCCTGCCCCTGCCGGGGCTGATGGCGACGGATCAATTTCTGAGAAGCTTACTGAAGCCATCGAGTGCTTGCAACTTCAGGGTGTGTGGCCTAAGGGTGATGAAGTGGCGATCGCCGTTGACGGCATTCAGCCCCTTGCTGCTGATTGGACCGGTAAGGATGATGTGAGCCACTGCTACTTGACGATAGCAGACCTGAACTTTGGAGATTTGGGTCTATCGGGCCAAACCGTGAGTTTCGCGGATGTGTTGTCAGCGCGGCGCTTCTGGTACAGCAGTGGCCTGCCGGCAGCCTTGCCGCACATCACCTGCCATTTCGACGATTCTTCCACAAGGCAGGGACAGCGTGCGTGTTTTGTGTGTGTGTGTGTGCTGGTGCGCACACGAGTATGCGTGCATGTGCGCATGTGTGTTTCTCAGTGGGTGTGTGTGTGTGTGTGTGTGTGTCTGTGTCATTCTGTGTGCGCGTCTGTGAGCATGTGTGTGTGTGTGTGTCTGTATGTGTGTGATATGTCTGTGTGTCTGTGTGCGTGCCTGCATGTGTGCGTGCATGCGCACGTGCGTGATGCCTGTGTGTGTGTGTGTGTGTGTGTGGGTGGGTGTGTGGGTGGGTGGGTGGGTGGGTGGGCGGGTGGGTGGGTGTGCGGGCAGGTGTGTGTGTGTGTGTGTGTGTGTGTGTGTGTGTGTGTGTGTCTGTCTGTCGGTTTATGATGTCGGTGTGTGAGTGTGAGGGGGTGGGTGTTCCTACCTGTGTGTCTCTGTGTGTGTGTCTGTGAGCGCTTCTCTCTCTTTGTCTCCGGGTGTTGATTTGTCTGTGTGTCATGTCTGCAGGTTTGTTCCGGTATTGGTGTGTTTATGCCCGCGTTTGGCTTGCCCCCTGGACCTTCAGGGGAACCATCCGACCGACAACTCGATTGGCTCAGCTTTTCGCATTTATTCTTGATTGGGCAGACAAAGCCCACGACAAGGACACATGCGAAGCTTTTCGAAAGCGAGCACTCGTTGCTGGTCTTGCAGTAAGCTCTTTGAATGTGTAGGTAGACGACACTGGGATTTAATGCAGCTATCCAAGGCTGTTCCGGCGATGATGGTTCGCTGCCCTCAAGACGGCCTGGCTGCGTTCTGGGAGCTGCATGCTCACGGGGAACGGGTAATTCAAATTTGTGCTGAAGAGCCTTGGGTTCAATATGTCAGTTCACCACCACGTGCCGTTGTAGATTTGCAAGCCTTCCAAGGAGGGGAATCATCTATCCCTGAGACTGGCTGAGAGGCTGACGCAGCCCCTCGGTCCGATGTCTGTGCATGTGTGCATCTGTGCGGATGGGGTCGCGGCTTAAGTTCTGACTGAGGTTGCAGTGTATTCTCAAGGCAGCAGGGCAGGACCACGGCTACCTCCAGGTTTACGAGGCCTTTGCAGAGCGAGAGCGGAGTCATGGCCTCGTCTACGCTCACGACGACTCAGTCGTGAAGAACAAAGATCAGGTTTCGAAGCTGATCCGCTTGTTGAGCAGGTGCAAAGAGTCAGGAGTTCTGCACACCTTGCAGTCACTTCAGCTACAGCAGAATCGGCTGACATGGGCGGGGCGATGGTCCGTGGTCACCCGACTAGTCGGCCTCGCAGATGATGGAGACCAATTCAAGTTCATCGTGCGCCCTCCGGCGAATTGATTTATAACCCATGAGATTTTGTCTAGGTGAGTAATAATGTGGGCAAGGCTCGCTGGCACTGGGCTTTCGTGAGGGGTGCACCATCCCGTTTCGCGGCGGGTCGGCCGTGGACTTGACACGAGATTCGCTGGTGGACACGGCGAAGGCTTTAGCCTTCACCTTTCAGGTGATGGAGAAGGTGGCCGAAGAGTGCAGAGACAGCAAAGCGGAGCCATGGATGCTAAAGCTGAAGGAGAGCCTCAGCATCCTGGATAATGGGTCCGATGAGGCCCAGGTTCTCTTCGGGGCCTCCGACGTACAAGCAGCGGTTCTGAGATTGATCATGGACTTGGTGCCTCAGCTGCATTGCACCACTGTTGTCAGGTCGGTCGGGGTCAAGGCCAGAATGCAATGCGGCAGCAAAGGCATCCGGCAAGCATCTGTCGACAATGTATGGCGTCGTTGGAAATCATGGTGAAGCGGGGTTTCCTGCACGGTACAGCGATGCCAGGGTTCAATCCCTTGTAGCGCACGTCGTGCAGGAGTGCCTCGTCTATGCAATATCGTCCGGTTGTGTGAGGTCCAGACATGACATGACTGCAGCGAGTTGCGATTTGAGGTGGCGCAGCACATACAAGACGCCTTTGGTGGTGGCAGCTCCGGCTGTGCCGGACTCCGAGTCACCTGAGCCGCTGGTCGTCAAGGCCAAATGGAATGACACCTTCGATGAGGAGGCCCCTGCTGCACCGACTCCCACTCCTTCCGGGGAGGATCTGCGAAAACAGCGGGAGGATGCCTTCAACACGGTGGCCAAGGGTGACATTGGCCGTTATGTCCGCTTCATCGAAGTGAGCGACGTCACAGATCCAACTTTGCTGAGCAATGCGTTGGTGCCGACCTTTGGTGGCAGTGAAACTCACAGCAGTAATTGAGTGTAGCTGTGGCTGCTGGGGATTGAACCTGAGGCACGTGGAATTGCTGGACATTCCGGCAGTCGATGGAAGCAGTGAGCAGAGCCTGAGAGGGTGGATTGTGGACTCCGCGATGCTTCACGAACCTTCTGAAGCGTTTTGCAAGTCCCACAACGTATTCACCAGACACCCGCCATTCAACGGCGGCTTGTTGCAGCCCGGTTGCAGGGAATGATAGCGCGGGGTGCGGTAGGTCTTCGCGGGAACGTGAGGGCTCTGCTGTATATCTGAGGGAGTCCGTGCTGAAAGTCTACCAGCAGGTGGCGGTCGATGGAAAAGACATCGTCGTGGTCATGGACAGCGGTTCCAGCAGAGCCTCGACGAAGATCAACTCGGCATTCTCAAAGGCGAGGAAGCACAGCTGCATGATGGGCACTTGGCAGCTTCTACCACTGCAAAGTGATCTGGAAGCCCGAGCAGCCTACCTGGGCCAGCTCCTTGACTTAAAAACCTTGCGGTCCTGCTTTTCTGTTGGAGACTGAGACCCAACAGCCAAGGGAAGCTCGCGGCCAAAAGCGCCGCAGAAAAGCCAGCAGTCTGGCGGCCGTTGTTGGCCAAGAAGGAGTTCACTATCTGATTCGTGGAGGGCCGCTACAAAGCACAGATTTGAAGTTCCTGACCTCCACAGGGGCAGCCTCGGATTCTGCAAATCCTTTCCTGATCTGCAGCCTTCCGAATCCTGCATCCCTGCGACCACTGGTGACAAAGAAGGAGAAAGACCAGGTCAGATTTCATTGGTGTGTGTGTGTGTGTGGTTAGTTATGTCATTGTCCCATGACATTGACATGACAGTAGGTGCTGCTGAGCGTCGACAAGAAGGACAAGAAGATGGTCGTGTGCACCGCTGGTCCCGCGGACTTGCTTGCAGAAGTGGCAGAGGATGAGAAGCTGCCGTTGCAGCACTTCAGCCGCCACCCTCTGTTCTACAAAGAGCTGCACAACATCTGCCACACCAGGTCTCTGATCATTGTGACACCGGACCCGGCAGAGTTGATGGTGGCGGTCGAGCAGAAGATCCACGTGATCGCAGTTGTGAGATCCAAACTCCACCTTCAAATCTTGTCCGATTTCTTGCGTGAAGAGATCGCCCAGAAGATGCAGGACCCCACCAACAGGAGGTTCTACCAGAAGACTTTGGTGGAACGCTTTGCCATTGCCCCTGCCGAGAGGGCGAGCTCCTTGAGCCCGGGGATTGCTTCAGCTGCTGCTGTTACGACACCGCCTCCGCCTGCCCCGCCTGGCGCTGCAGCTGATGGTGATGACAATGACGAGAAGGAATCGTCAAGCTCGGGGGGGGGGTCGGACGAGGACGACTGATCTGTGGATGAGAGCTCAGCAAGCAGCTTCCCTTTAATTTTCGACATGCAGCGTGTGTTGGCATGCTTACGCCTGCCGTTTTGGACACGCAGCAGAGATCACCTTCAGACGTGCGCGCAGAGAGTGTTAAATCGTGAGATCAGGCGGACGTGCGTGACATGCTTGCATCACACTCTTGCATTTCCTTCAGTTTCGCTCATCGTCCTGCGTTTGAAAGACTGCATAGCAAAGGCCCCATGTTTCCACGAGTCTCCCTCGCTGAGCAAGACGATTAGCAGCTTAGCATCCGCAGCCCGGCAGGCCCTTTCGGCGCCGCCCGCAGGCACGACAGGCTAGCTAGAAATTTGGGGCTTCCTCGTTCGGGTTTCTGTCGTTTTGGAACCAAATTACGGTTTCGAGGGTCTTCGGGAGTCCGTTTTAATTAAGCTTGCGGCTTGATTCCAACTAGGTGCGCTTCAGGTTCATTCTTTGGCTACGTAGGACTACCATGACAAGAAGATCGTGCATCTGGTGAGCCTTCCAGGAGGAGTTTGTTAGGGATCAGAAGAGGTGGAACCAGGGATGCATTCGAGATAGGTAAAAGCCCGTCTTGTAATCCTTAATAACCCCAAACACGCAAACTCCTAAAAGCTCTGGAGCCCGAAGAAACCAACATTGAGGCAGGTTTTTTGTGGTTGTCATAGGCTTTAGGGTTTACATAGGATTTTAGTAGAGCGTCACATGGCTTGACAGTGCAGTGGCAGCATCACCACGGCGACCACGGAGATCATTGGAAGTCATCGGGCAAAATGAGACCTGCTCGCAAGTTCGAAGCTGAGATCGTTGCTTGGCCGGAGCATTGTTACACCCGGAGAGGGAGCACTGGTACCGGAGGAGCCTCTCAGCAGCGAAGACGAGGTGCTGGCCCATCGGAAGGTATTGGAGACGCACCGCGAGTGCTCCATCGGAGTCCGCATCCGAGCTCACTCCCAGATGCCGCCATGAATGGCCGACTGGTCGACATGCTCCTCCCGCCCTCCCAGTGTAGGAGACAAGCTTAGGTATGAATAATGGTTAGCCGGTTCCCTCATACCAAGTTTCATTTATGGGGTTTAGGCTTAGGGTGCATGGAGGTTGAAATATGAGTTGGGTTCCAGCTTCGGGCCGCATTTGTGTAATATCCGGCTTTATGAAGACCATCCTGTTAACATGCACGCAGGAGGAGAAGTGTAGGATCTAAGTCGGCACTAAATCCGAACTCGAGGTTCCTGACCAGTGCATGGCTTTGCAAATCTTACGCTTGCCCAGACCCAGGATGCGAAACCTGCAAAGCCGCAGTCCTGCGAAGGCTAGACATAGTCAAATCGTGATAAGTGACAAGTCCATTCTCCGGAAAGCACCCTTGCCTCGCCTTGCAAGCAAAGCAGCCTAACCAAATGATCAGGCCCACGACCCACGACTGCTCTGAGTCCCGGGTCCACAAACCCAGAGAAGCCCCAATGCCCCAAGGTTCAAGCCATTGTGAATCGAGGTCTTGACCCAGAAGCCGTTAAAGCTCCACATAACGACATCTTGTTGAGCTTACCCTAAACCCTAAACCTAGAAGCTCTAGTCCGTTGTCTTCTTCTCACCAGGAAGATCCCAGATGCCAGGCACTTCACTGTGATAGCATGGATGTGAGGCCCGAGCCGAAGACTTTTGGGGTTGAGGTACGCCTTAAGGCCATTTCGAAAGCTCAATTGTTCCACCTGCTTTCAGCTTCGGTGGAATATCGGTTTGTACACACGGGCTTCTATACTTCGGTGCACAGAGCAGTGAGTAATCATGATTGTAAGCCTAGGTTGGAGCTTTTCGTTGGCCTATCGGGAGTCTTGGGTGCTTGTAACCCCCGGGGCGAGAAAATGGATGAAGTTGCGACAGCACAACGAGTCATTATCGCATGCAGCCCCTCTGCCTCAGGATGGTTGTGTGAATCTGTGACACTTGCCTCTTTGAAACATGATCCGTTCTATGCTTTCTAAACGAAACAGAAATGAAAACACTGGTGTCGGGCTCTGCGCCTCGTCCGGATGTTGCAGCAACATTCATCGCGACAATGAGGCACATTGGTGATTCGGTTTCTGCGGCAGTGGCTCCATGAACAGGAGGTGTGCCCGACGATCTTACCCTGAAGATGTTGCTCAGTGGCTGTGGGGTGCGCTTGCTTTCGGCGGTATGCACTTGAACTTGCATTCAATGCATTGTGTGGCTCCAGTTGAGACCGTGAGCAGGCTTGCAGCCGGCCACATTGTGTTTGGGTCTTGTAATTATTCCCAGCTGGCAATGGGCAAGGACGTCGTAAAAAAGAAGCCAGCAGCGAAGACGGTGAAGTCTTTGCAGACTAAGGCTTCAGTTTCGTCTGCTACCGCGCCTACGACCGATAAGCCCTTCGACATCGACACCTTCATCAAGCATCTAGGAGGCCTCGGCCCAGGCGAAGCAGATTTTTCCTGGGGTAGTGGCTTCGACGGCATCAATGCAGTTGGTCATGTCATCCAGACTTTGCTGCCAAGCGCTCAGCACATATTTGGTGCCGAGAGAAAATCATCAGCTGCTTGCTGGTGCCTTCGCAATTTCCGTATGGAGTATCTGTTCCAGGCTGGGTCTCACGGTTCAACGTGGATAGCTCACCCGGTTTATTCGGCTAGCATGTTTTGGCTTTGGTTTGCCAGGACGTCGACTCGACGAGTTCCGACAGCGGTGGCTACTGTCTGAAGCACGCCATGAAATGTGTAGCACGAAAGCCAATCCGATTTTATGCTGCTGGCTTCATGTGCTGCTCAAATTCAGAGCGCTTCGGGAGCAGGTTCGCGAAGAGCCCCCTGGACCCCAAGGCGGTGTCAGAGTCTACATTCCAAGCCGCTGTACGTGCTTTGAAGAAGCACAAACCGGTTTTCTTCCTGCTCGAAAACGTTGTCGGCTGCAGGACACACTTGGCGTTGAATTCAGTCTGTGTTGTTAGAGTTCTGCAGGCTCCGAAGCTTTGAGTGCTGTGGCAGGAAGAAGGCGAAAGGCGAAACTTCGTCGCCACTGGACCATTACTTGCGCGTCTTGAAAGGTATGGATGGCGGTTACGACGTCCAGGCCATCAACATCACAGGCCGGCCTCTGGCAGAGAAGCGAGAAAGGGTTTTCATACTGGGCAGTCGATGCCCGGACTTGACAGCATCGGATTGGGCTCGCAAAAGCCAGTTGCTCGAGGAAGTTTCGAAGGAGATGCCGATCCATGCGCTGAGCTGCAAGGTGACACCCGTTGAGGCTCTTCGCGACGAAGTAACATCTTGGAAAGCCGATGCAGCCTATCACAATGAGTTCGCGGCCTTGATGAGCAAGCTCAGCGAGAAGTTCAAAGGTGATCCTCTCATCGTCAAGGACATGAAAGACAGAGCGAGTTCGAAGCTGCGGGCCGTGCGTCATCTGACACCGATCCAAAAGGCGAACGTGGATGTGATTGAAATGATGGCGACTCGATCGGCCGAGGAGGCCCGAAAGGCTGACAGCTCCTTCGTGCCGTACATCCTCGCGGACATTTCTCAGAAGGCAAGCTTCGGTGGCATCACGCTCAACAAGACGTGGACGACGCTCACTACGTCCACACGTCTGCTCGACTTCCAGCAAGGCGAGATCCTGCCAGCAACGAGCCACCTGGAGATGCTAGGGTGGAACAAGTCTTGGCGGCAGAGCAGCAATTTGCAGCTCCCTGACTTTATTCATGCTATCGTGGTAAATTCTGGACCTCCATGTGTAGAGTTGCCTTAGTTCACCAATTCAAGGTACTGGTCGCAGTCAGAGATTTATGATCTCACGGGCAACTCTATGTCGCTGGCCGCCGTGACGAAGGTTCTTCTTCCGCTCATGAAGCATGTCACAGCAGAGGGCAGGCGCTCGTTGCAAGCTTAAGCCGTGCTTGTTTTTGTGTAACATGACGCATGCCGGGTGCGAGCCTTCAGCAGCTGTGGAAGACTGTGTTGCAGCTAGGGTAGACGAGTTGGGCAGGCTGATATCTAAGTTGACTTCCGTGAGACAGCAAGTCATCCACGCCATTTTGTGTCGCTTTGTTCCCGGCTGCGGCCCTTGGCCAAAGTGGCAGAGTCGAGCATTGATTGCTGCGGTGGAAAATGAACCGTACCCTGCTCGCAACAACAAGATCGAGGCTGTAACGCTCAGCTGATGCAAACAGTGCACGTGTGCCAGGCGCAATGATGCCGAATCTGACATCGAGAGAAGGCCAGTGGTGGTCACATGCAGTTGCATGTAGTTCCCTATGTGCTTCTGAGATAGTGTGCCGAAGGGGTATACGAGAAGCAGCCTGTTGCCCAGCAGTCGTTTATCCTCAAAGTGGCAGTTTAGCAACTCGTACCTGCTACAGGCCATGGTCATTTTGTGGTGTGGCCAAGGGATAAACGCGGCCCAAGCATTGGGCGTGAGTGACAGCATCCATTTGGCTGCGGATGAAGCAGAGCTGCGTCGTTTCGCTAGGGTCCGCTACCACAATGCATTTGCACCCGTGGCACTCGCCCAGTCGTTGAAGGTGTCAGGTGTGGTGCATTTCATGGGATGGCATAACGGCGAGACCGAAGACCTCCGTGTGACCTTAACGCTCGCCCTGGAGCATGGTGCGTCCATCATATGTCTCGCGATGCCTGAAGCTCCGGATTCAAAGCTCTTGAAGAACTTCTCGCCGGAGTTCAACATTGCTTCAAAACACATTTGTTGGGAAGCTCTGGGAAGTCCATGGCTGGCATCAACCTACATTTTGCTCTTGGCGAATGCAAAATGTACTTCATCAGAGCTCCAGCCACTTCTTCAAGAAAAAACCCTGGCTGCAAACAAATGGAAGGTGCCGGGCTTCAAGCCAGATGGGCCAAGATCTACAGCTTCTCTCGAACGTGACCCGGTGCCGTCAACCGTCGAAGCCGAGGGCAATGAGAACGACAGCAAGAAAGGCAAACCCATGCTGGAGCAAGCCGCGCAGGAGCTGCAACAGTTGCTTGTCACAGGTCATCATCAGACGTGGTACTTGGATGCAGGCAAAAGCTCGAAACGGCGGAAGCCCAGCATGGTGTGTCCACAGCCAAGCGCCGGGTCAGTCATCATCGCACGATCTCAGGGGGCAATTTTTCGCTTGGGCAGTGCAGAACACTTGGCCAACTTGGGATGGACAAAAGAGGTATCTGTTGTCCTCGTAGAGCCCTTGAAGTTGCAGCAAAGCGTTCTAGCTTGCACACTGCCGAAGGCAGTGGCCGAGATCATGCTCGCATGCGTGAGCTCCATCAAGTGATGCTACCGGAGTCGAGCCCAGCTGCTTGAGGCTTGCAGAGGATAACAATGCCGTGCTTTTAAACTATCGTGCAGGGATAGGCTAAAAGTTCGCATACTCTGGCAGCCGTGGGTGCACATCATTAGCCCGCTGGCTTCGGGCAGTTTTGAGGTGACTGCGACTTGGAAAAAGGTTGAGTGTGTGTGTGTGGGTGTCTGTGTGTATGTGTTTTGCTTGATCGGCGCTTTGTTGCTGAATTAAACGACGGCGTACCCTTCACCTCATGCAGCATGAATGCAGCTGGACATGAGACCGGAGTTTGCGATCCTCGGACCTTTTGTGCGCTGTCGAGGTCGACTGCTGAACCTGCGGAGGCTCCATGGCTTTTCTTGGGCTGCAGGTGCTTTGAATAGTGCTATGGTTCAAGTGTAACACTTGTTATTAGTTGTCATAGTTGCCATGTGAAGCAACATGACAAGAAGGTTCTCAGTTCTCGGTGGCTTGGGTGACCGGTTTCAACATTGAACTTGGATTCAAGATCCAGGCTTAGGGGCGAGCCGGATGCCGTCTTGTAGTGAACAGTGGATTCGCGCTTGCGCCAAGCAGTGCCGGATACAGGGGTTTCCAGGTTTAGGGTTCGCTGTTATTCAGCTTCGGGGCGGAAGACTAGAGTAGTGAACAGCTTTCGCTGAACTGCTTGACGAGATCATGCCTCTGAATCTGTATAGAACCTGGACCTGTTGCAGCAAGCTTCTCCATTGCCTCGTTCCGGCAGACTCAGGAGATGTTAAGTCATGTCGAAGAGCATCAGTTCAACAATGTGTCGAAACTTACAATGGCAAAGCATTGAAATTATACCAACAAGACGTGAACAATACACGTGCAGCGCACAACGAAGCAATCGGGTCGTTTGGGTGAGGATTATGGCGTCCGATCATGCTTACGTCACGAATAAGTCGCTGGGGATCAAGCGCCCAGCCAGCGACTTTGCACTATTTATGCAGAGTCAGAAGAAGAAGAAGATCCAGGGAAAGTCTTCGAGCAACGCCGTCGTTCGAGCTTCGCAGCTCTGGTGCCTCTACTTAACAGAGAGCTTTCCTTTTGGCAGTCTCCGGAGAGAGATACGCGTGGATAACAATTGTTTTCATGAAAATGCTTCGAGGTCAGCCATGACAGTCAATGAGAAGAAGCCTTGGCGAGAGAGATTTCAGGCGATAGTGGCTAGAACCCAGGACGGCAGACCTCTGCTGGTATTGATGCATTTAAGAATGTATCTTCATGTGCTGCCCAGGAGACCCGGCAGCGTCTTCTGAAACCTGCAGAAGATGAGATCCCAGACCTGGCACCTGCAGCAGAGCAACCTGTTGATCAGCTGCAAAAAGCTCCGCGCGATTTGCTTTGGAATGGCCACCGACTCAGAGCCGTGCGGTTTGTGGACGCGGGCGCATATGGCACCGTCTACGCTTCTCGGCTCAGAAATAATGAAACAACATGTCATGCCGTACAGTTTTTATTGCACGAGGCCCGCCCGGCTAGTCAGAAGTGCAGCATCTGAGGCCATGTCAGACGGATGGCAGGAATATGCCGCCAAAGTATGCTCCAATGACAGTAGAGATGTCCTTGAGGAGGTCCGAAGATTGGGGAATTTGGCCCATCCGCACGTGATGACAATATATGCACATATGACTTCCTCGCTGCCGGAAGTTGCCGCCGTCTTGGTGATGCCTCTGGGAGAGTGCTCTCTTCTCAAGATCTGTAGAGAGGCACCAGGGGAGCGCAGAGTCTGGGTCCTGCTCCACCAGATTGCTCTGGCTTTGATCTTTATCC